ACCATAGAGCTACTATGATAAAGGTGAGCATTCTAATAATATACTGTGAGAACTAATACTCCTTTTCATATAATTATCTCACTCATATCAAAGCCCCATTCCTGAAAAATTATTTGGAACCAGAAGTAAAATATCCAGTCTTGCACAGCAATAGCATTCCATCACAAGCCTTTCATAAAGGAAGCATCCATTTAAAATTGAAGACTGGCAATAAAAAACTGCTAATTGCTTTTCAAAAAAGACTACAACAATCTATGCAGAATATCAATATTTCTGCATTCAAAACTATAAATAAGTCTCCCTTAGCCATGAAAGCCAGGTGGGTGCAGACACTTTCTCCCAGGCCATCTCACCTCAAAGGATTGTTATTGTGGGGAAAATAGGAGGAAGGTGTATTGGAATGTTTGCCACCTTGTAAAAATATTTTATAATGATGAAATAAAAATCAATCAATCAATACACAGGTAGCCCTTGCTCACCAATCATTTGAACTTACAACAGTGCTGAAAAAATGGAGTTGTGACTGAATCTTTAATTTTTGACCATTGCAGTGCCCCTGTCATCATGTGATAAAAAATTGAGCCAGCCTGCATCTATATCCATACCCCCTAATCCCGCCCACCCCCAAGCTCACCTTCCTCATCTTTCCCAGACTACTGTCTCCCGGGGTCACCATCTGATCAGCATGGAAGGTGCTGCAACTCCAGGGTTTCATGCCACAGACTTGTGGCTCTAGGGTGCTTGACACAGCCCCTTACTTGATACACCTTGCACAGCCCCCCATCTGCCTGCCAGCCCGTTTGCAAGGCACCTGCAACTTTCAACTTCCTGCTGGCTTCCTACTTTGTGGTTGAAAGCTAGCAAGAAGTTGCAAGGAGGCCCCTTGCTTAACCACCCACAATCCTGACAATAGCAGTGGGCACTGCAGGGATTGCCATCACTAAGCCATGAAGTCATGTGATGTAGTACTGTACAATTGCATTGCTGAGCAACAGGAATTCCTCTCCCAATTACCATTGTTAACAGATGACTGCCTGTAACATTGTCCCACAATGTATTATTTTATTCCATTTTATTTAATATCCAGTACTTAATAGGCCTGGTGCCATTCACAAATTTTACTAGCAACTTCTTGTTTCATAGGTTTTTTAAATAGGTTCCAAGACTGATTGTTAACAAGTGCACTTGTATCTTTTTAACCAGAGGGGTAAAATAGTTTGTCTGCTGCTTTTTAACCACCACTGTATTCAGTTTAAGAAGTAATTTTCTTTCTGATGCTTACAAAATGTTGACTGATGTCAACAGAATATAACTGTTGACTCCAAATTTGGGACGCTAAGCTTGAAATTTAGAGAGCTTGTTTTGAGATCTTCAAACAATGGCCGTTAATGATGCTGTCCTGACCTGGCTGGTTTGCTGTTTACTTTTTTTAAAATGTGGCTTTAATTGCTGAGGCAGGATTAAGACTCAGTCTTCTTGCTTCTAATTGCCTTCTAATTGAGAGATCAAATTGGCTCTCTAAAATATGTGCAAAATGCAATATGAAGGTTACTTTTTACATGTCCTTGCCAATTGGTTTCTACTGAAATATGCTATCAGATTGATCCTGGAGAAATTAAAATCTAGGAAAATAATAATATATAAATACAAGAATTATCTGTATTAGTTTTAGTCTTTCAGAGTATTTAAATATAGGGTATGCTAAGATTCAACTCAACTTTCTATATAGGATTTTTATTATATCTATAATGTGTAGTTTGAAAATTATTTATAATACAAAATCAAGCTATACAACCATCATTTCAAAAAGCAATAGATTGAATGCAAATTCTTTTGCATTACTGCCATATTGTCTGAATGCAGAGTTCATTCAGAAAAGTACCAAGAACTGGGCTGGGGGTGGGGGGAACAGAGAGAAAGAGAGAACCATCTTTCTTACCTCCTTTTCTCCTTTTCAGTCCCCAGTATTACCTTCTCCTCTCTTCTAACCCTCCATTTAGAAACAGGAGGAAAAATTCAGTCAAGATCACCTCCTTCTTTCCATCAATGGAGCCTCTAAATGAGAAACATCTTGGGGAAGGGAAAAAACCTTTTATCTATAAGAAGCAGAGTCCGGAACCAACTCACATGCATAGACATACACAGACATACAAAATGCATTAGAGAGGAGCAATAAAAGAGCCTACTGGTAAAACCTTTTAACACTGCAACCCAATTGCTCCAGGAAAGAGAGACTCAGTAGTGAGCAAATGTGTACTTCTTTCCTCAGATCTAATGATAGCCAAAATAAGACTTAAGTCAGTATTCTTCCTTAATTTTGAGCTTAGCTCTACCCATCAATGTGACACAGTCTCGCTCACTCTGCATGAACCCACACTGAGGCCCTTATACCTCCCACCCAAAATGCCAAATATAATTTACAATGACCAATTAGCATAAGACACAAAATTTAGTTAGCAGCCATTTCAAGCACAAAGTGGATAGACTTTAGGGTCATCCGTCTCCAGACCAAAGTTGCCTTTACAGGTTCTGGTAGGGAAATAACACCTCCTCTCTTATCCCAGCAGAAGACCTCCCAGGTGGAAAATTTACTAGACATACACATGGATTCTGCCAATTGCACCCATACCTGGACTAAGAGGCACCTAGAACTGTCACTGATGTTTTGCCACTTGCATTTGAACTATTGCATATGCCGTACATGCAGCTATTTTTGAAAGCCACTTGAAGGCTGCTGCTGGTTCAGAATGCAGTGGAATGGACGGTTATGGGTATGCCGTAGTATTTCTACCTAGTACCTTTCCTTCATGAACTGATCTGTTACTAGTAGGCTTCCAGATGTAATTCAAGGTAGCTGGCAGCTCTCAACAGGTGCTTGTTTTCATCTATAAAACCTTTCATGGTATAAAGCCTAATGGTACATGAAGGACTGTCTTCAGTGGTTTCTGCCCATCTTCATATTATCAAGCAACATACAGTGGTAATCCTTGGGTTCCATCAATTAAAAAGGTTATCTGATGGACTACAGGAAGTGGACTTTCTTGATTGAAGTATCTGCCATCTAAAATGATGCCCTCCCTGAGATTTGCATTTCCTCCCCCCCCCCCCCCCTATTCATATGAGCCCTTAAAAGCTGGTTCTTCTCCCAGGCCTTGGGCTTGAGTGGTTGGTTGTGGCCACAAGGTTGGCTTTTTTTCTGGATGCTTGGTTTTGCCTTATTCTGCTATAATTGTTACATGTTATACACACAAATTGGAGTAGGCCGTTCCTGGAGGTACTGCAATACCAGGCCGATGCTGGAGTGGACAGAGCAAGCCCCTATTCCATCTGTAGAGATTAATTTGATTTTGCACTTAATAACTGCAGCAAGATTGTTGGTGGCGCAACACTGGAAGAAGGAAGACTTGCCTACAATTCAAGAATGGACATTGAAAGTCACAAATTTAGCCGAGATGGCTAAAATATCGGCATATCTTAAGGACCACTCAAACGAGAGATATAAACGAGACTGGAAAAAATGGATTGATTATATACAAAATAAATATGGGACTAAGAAATTCCAGATAGCTTATGCTTAAGATCAGGAATGATTTAAATTGTTTAAAGTTAGTTTAGCAAGGAGAAGCTAAGTTCAATGTAAAGATGTTATCAATTTTTTTATTCTTTTTTCCAATATATTTTAGATTGTTTTTGTTAAAAATCTATACCGTGTACGGGTTCTGGGAAGTTGGGGGGGGGGAAGCTGGGGGGGCTTGGGGGGGAGGGGGGGAGGGATGTATATCAGGTTTGACGAGACATGTTAGATTTTAATGTAATTTGACTCTACATGTATACTGTTTTCTCTTATATTTTCATTACTATTATTATTATTATTATTTTCTTTAAAACTAGGATATGTTAAGCATATTGACATAAAGCGGAAATACACCAATGAGAGGAGGAGTGGGAAACAGAAGGGAGAAGAAAGATGGGAAGAGAGGGATAGGAGAGAGGGTAAGGGGGGAAGATGAGGAGGATGAGGATAAGGAGGAGTGGAATGTAGAGAGAGGAGAAGGAGAAAGGAAGGGGAAGTAGAGTAGGAAAGGATGATGGAGGGAAGATAGAAAGTTGGAGAGAGGTAGAAGAAAGAGGTGTATGGAGAGCAGAAGAGCTATAATGGGTTTTTATTTTTCTGGGCATTGTTGACAAGAGGAACTGATGTAATTATTATTTAATACTATATGATGCTGGCTATGTATAGTATACATGTGAGTGTATGTTATGAAAATGGAAATTATTATTTTTTTAAAAAAACAAATTGGAGTAGGCCTGCACATTTAAAAGATGTGCTTCTAGAATTGTCATTAAGAAACTGGCTGGGTTATGCTTCTTATATGAACACAATGTGTAAGTATTTTGGTGACATTGGATCAATTTATTTCAAATAAAATATTTGTAGAAGCAATAACATACCACTACTGAAGGAATAGAGAAGTGTTGGACCAGGGAGGAATTGAACATTCCATATTATTTGGCAATGCAGCCAACAAACAACTCTCAGCATTTCTGGAAATCATAGCCAGACTTTAATCTCTAATCCTTGGACAGGATGTGTGATATTGATTGACAGATAGATTGCAAAATGTTTATTTATCTTGCAATTGATTTATAATTTGTATATTAAAAATGAGATGAGTGGAAAGAGAAAATCTTCATAGGAATCCTGTCAGCTTAGTTATATTGATTGACTCAAGCTTATCCAATAAAGTTTATCGCTGAGTGATGATTTGAACCTGGGTTTCTCTGGTCTATGCCAGAATCATAACTTCACATTAGTTTTCAATCTAAGACTATAATAGAATTAAATTGCTTTATTCATCTAATCCAGCCACAGTCAGAACTAATTTTCAGTAGGCAAGAAAGATTCCTTTGCTGAAAAACAACTGATGTTATGCACTATAACAAGTTATAGTGAATAATATACAATACAGTAACCTAAGTATGTCTTTGTTTGTTTCCAGACAAGTAAGGCCATCTCCAAGGGGGACTTTCACCAGGCAAGCTCAGCTTCTCGACGAGCACTCTTCCTTGCTGCACTATCAATTACCATCGGCACAGGGGTATATGTTGGAGTGATTGTAACACTGATTGCTTACCTTTCTAAAGGTGGGCATGTATAATAAAGACTGTTACATAAAATGCCCGTCATTCTTCCCCAATGGATAAACCTCCTGGATTAAGTGCTTTAAATGCCATAAAGGACAACATGCTTACAAAGACTGAAAAGGAGCTTCCCCCCCCCCCACACACACACATTCAAATGAATTGTATAGACTTTTTTTTGAATGAACACTGACCTACTTTGCATTATAGCCTGACAAGCTATTTTTAAAAAAAACACCTTCATGCAAAAATGAGTGCATGCTTGAACAGCCTGGATTTTGAGACTGCCGAGAACAAAAGAGGAAAATGGGATTTTTTTAAAAAAAAAAGTCTTCAGCTTGTTCTCAGACCAATTTACTTGTGAGCTAAATCTGCCATTTGTGAGGTTCAATTTCCTATTGGGACTAAGCCCCGGTCTTGTTCAGAGCACACGGTAAAAGAGAAGAAAATGGGGGAATGTTCATTGAAAAACTTTCATTAGGGTATTTGTCAAGATGTTTCTATTTTGAGCCAGAAAGTCTAGCTACAAGATCAATTCATCTGTGAGTACCATACAAAGCCAGCTTTCCCCATAGCTCTCTTTCAGAGCCATTCTCATACAGTTTGCCTCTCCACCTAGAGTTCTCTTCTATGTCAGATTTTCCCTACAGTGTCATCTCATTCATCTTTGAAGAATCATATTCAGCTGTCACTTCAGTTATAACATAACACCTGCTTTAAAGAAGAGGCAGAAAAAGTATGTAATTATAGTCATTCTAATTGAACAGCTTTGGGGAAATCCTCTGGGCCTTCTATTTTTTAATTATGTTTTAGGATGCATACTACAGTATCAAATAGAATGAATTAATATTATTTCAGGTTTTATTATGACATGCAAAACCCATCAAGAGATAATGCAGCATGATTACTTTTTATCATATATAAAAATTCTATTCTGTGTGACATCATATGGAATCAACAGGTAGTTCTTGCTTAACTATAATAATTGGGACCAGCAACGCCATCACTAAGCAATACAATTGTTAAGCACAATGTCACTTCGCCATGCTGGCAGTTATGGCAGTTCCAGTTGCTGTTGTTAAATGATTCCTGCGTGGTCATTAAGCATGACATCACATGATTACCATTTGTGACTTTCTGCTGGCTTCTTTGCTTGTCGAATGCTGGCACTGAATGTCACAAATAGTGACTTGAACAGAGGAAACTGTGACTATTATAGTTGCAAACCAGCCATCAAGCATCCAAATTATGATCATGTGACTGCTGGGACAGTGGCAACTACAAGGACCGAGTCAAAAGTCTCCCCATTTGCAGCACTATTATAACAATTGCTAAACAAGTGATTGTTAAATAAGAAACACCTGTATTAAAATTTCCCACAGGTCAGATCAATTATTGGGATTAGTCCAGTTAAAAATGGTTCTAAAACCACCAGTAACATTTCTACATAAAATGGCAACCTTTTAGTGTCTAGTGTTGTACAGACACATACATAATTAAATTGCATACAGATTTTTGCTATTTCAGTTTTTATAAGTCCAGATATTTATTTCTATGGCTATTGCAGACACTCAGCCTAAATCAAATCAAATATGGGTAATATTGCAGTGATCTCTTCACACCTAAGAACAATCATCAAGTTTTGTTATTTCTTCATTTTGAGATTTTTAGGATTCTATTGGGTCCGCCGTATGGTAAGTATGCATACATTTGTTAGTGAGATAATTCAGTATTGGAAGGCTCAGTACATTGCATCCAGTTAAATATAATGTCATTTTTATTGTGTCTTAAATCTCCATTCTGAATCTCTCATTGCCCTTAGCCTTGGACTGAAAGAAAATAATACCATGGAAATAACTTGAAAGCTGATTAAAAAAAAAAACTTTTCCTGCTCACCACTAGCAATGCGCCAGTAATACATAGTATGCTTCTGGGTGCCATAGAAGGTGCTAGGATTACTATATTAAAATCTATTCCCATATAATCCATGATGCTTCTGTAGCCTCATGGTAAGAAGTTGAGTGTGTCATAGTTAAATCATGGTCATCTATATTAGGCAGAATGACTTTCTCTAAATCAGCTTGCTCTTCACGCAGGATTTATTTTAATAGCAGCCCACCTATGCTTTAATCTTCAGACCTCTTGAAAATATTATAAGCCTTTTCTATTCATGCAATCACTGGATAGTAAAAGATGTGTACAGTGCATTTTTTTAAAAAAAGAATGTGTGTTCTCCTTTTTTATTATTGATAATTCAACTATTAAATGTTTTAATGTGCTTGGAAACTGCCCCAATTTCTTAGAGATGGATAGTGTAACAATTGTAACATAAAAGTAAGTATGTAAGCTTCCATCATCAAAGCAGATAGTAAACAACAAACTGGATTCTGAACTGAGAAACAATGTGCAAAAAATAACATGTTCCTTTAGGGGTAATAATTAATTCAAGCTATATATTTTTCCCCAACCTATGTTGTTTCATTGTGAAGTACATTTCTAAGTATGTCCACAAAACACAAGTGTTTAATTTTACTTATCCTTCTGAAACCAAGAACTCTCATTTCCTGGGGCAGAAAATTTAATTCTGCCTTTCCCTCCTTGAGGGTGTTATTAGTTACTGAAGTATAGAAGATAACTGTCGGCTTAAATTTGGGAAGATCAGATGTACAGTATAAGAAATGTGCAAAATCAGTAAGAAATAGTTGCTTTTATTTCAGGGATATATCTTTGATTATGTTTCCTCCCAAAACTTACACAGTAGATGTATTTTGTTTGTTAACTCACTCAAAGGATGATAATTAAGAACACTGATGTTTTTCTTATGCTTCTAGTGAGTCTTTTAGACAATTCAGGGAAATGAACACACTAATAAATAAGTGCTAAGGGCTGCCATAGAGATTTAATTTTGAATAGTGGTTCAACACTCCCATCTATATGAAATTTGGAAGTGCTGGCATCAGCTAGAAAATAATTGAATGATGTCCCAAAGATAAAAGGACTCTAAACATTGCTAGGTCAGGAGAAAGATGTTCAGGGACTGGGGAGATGAAAAAAATAAAAATTGGGAATAGTCAAGAACAAAAATGAATGGGAAGAAAAGACAACTGGAAATAAAGTAGTGGCCATAACAGTAGTAATCGTTAAAACTTGTGATAAAATGTCACCAATGATAGATCCTTTAATTACCTTTAGTCCACAACAGGCTTATCCAACCTGGTGTCTTTGTTTAAATGACAATTTGGGAAAGCTGGTTGTTGTCCAATATATCTGAGGGCACTACATTGGAGAAGGCTGGTTTGTAAACATGGCCCTTGGGTCCATTCTTATACAGTAAAATATTCTATGAATTAAGCCACAAATTGAAATATTGTAGAGAAATTTTCTAGTTATGCTTTCACCAAAAACTTGGAACATTGCCTTTTATTTTGTTCTCCTCCACATCCATCTCCAAGTTTCACTTTGGAGATTTTCATACATCTCATTCTTTTCCCCCAGTTCCCCTCATTTGCACCTGGAGGTAAGACTGGAATTCTTCTGTCACGGATCCTTCTGCACGTTGCAGTTTTTCTGTAAAAGGCTCAGCATGTTCTGTATAGTTGAGATATATGTTTTATTACCAAGTGGCATGTTAATGTCTGACATTTCTATTGTACTTGAGCCATAATGGAAAGAAGCACATAAGAAAAGAAACCTGTTCAAAAGAAACCTTTGAAGTGGCCCATTTTGTTTTATATCATTCAACTTTATTTATTTAGCATATGGTGATGCTACATTAGTCAGGACATTACAGTGTTAATACAAAATAGTTGTTTGGCTGCCTAAAATTGCTAGTCTGTTCGATTCACACTCACCTGCTATCCAGAGTGCACCACAGGGGGCAAACTAACTCCACACTCAAAATGGCCTACAGCATTCCTCCTGGGCTTTTTCCTTCCACCAATGTCTCCTAATATTTGGGCTCACATTCGGTCAGGTCCAGCACCAGTTGGATTTGTACTTCCACATGAAGTACCATTATTTAGGCGATATAGTTTACTTGGACTTCAATAAGGCATTTGATAAGGTAGACCATAACCTACTACTAGATAAAGTAGACGAATGTGGGTTGGACAGCATCACCACCACCAGATGGATTCGTAACTGGCTGACCAACCGCACTCAACGTGTAGTCCTCAACGGAGCTGCATCTACATAGAGGGAAGTATGCAGTGGAGTACCCCAAGGCTCTGTTTTAGATCCAGTCCTCTTCAACATCTTCATAAATGATTTGGATGACGGAATAAATGGAGAACTCATCAAATNAGTCTCCTCCTAACACGGCGTCCTTTTTCCTCTGCCGACCAGAAGTCCGGTTCCCCCACCCTAGAGTCTCCTCCTAACACGGCGTCCTTTTTCCTCTGCCGACCAGAAGCCTGGTTCTGATCTCCTCCTCTACCTGTCCTAACCGAAAGCCCTATCAATTGTGGAGCCGACCGGTGACAGGGAGCCGCAGCAGAGGGATGAAAGAGCCACATGCGGTTCCAGAGCCACACAGGTTGCCAACCCCTGGACTAAACCATTTGGAAGGCAATCCAAATGAGGAATATATCTATTTGGCCAACAGTCAAAGGGTGGAGAAACGGAGGCAGCAGTTACGGAGACAGACTCATAAGAGATAATCAAGCCCAGGTGGTTGTGGCTTGGCCCCTCCCCAGAGAGTATATAAGAAGAGACTTTGGGAGGAGTCCTTTTGCAGGACACAACCATTCATAGTAATCTGGAGAACTCCTTGTCTGGTCTGCCTTGTGTTCCCGTGTCTGTTGGAGTCTGGGTTGCTGCCAACGTCTTGCCAGTGAGTCGTGTTTGGACTTTCAGTCAATAGGAGTATAATTGTTGTGAATAAAGAGTGGCAAAAAGCTAAGCCTATGTTTGCGTTCATTACCGGAGAGAGGTGGGCCAGAACAGGAAGCTATATTATATTGTATCAGACCATTGGTTCATTTAGTATTTTTACTACCTTCCTCCAACCTGATAACCTTTAGCTATGTTGGACTTTATTCCACAACCTGGGAATTATGGATAACACAAGCTTCAGGGAAAATTATTATAACAGCAACTCTCCATTTTATACAGGGATTCCCTCCTTTCTAATCTTTTTTGGAGGTGACAGGACTTGAATGTGAAATTTCACATTGAACGACGTCCTTTTCTTTTATGATAAGTCTAAACTTCCCAGAACTTATCTAAATCACTGATTAATTTTAATTTTTAATAGTAATATGGCTTCCATTTTTGTGCCAAGCGCCTTGGTTCTAAGTAGCATGATTAAATATTCAGATCTTCATTTGGCTGAAGCTTAAGAGTGAATCTTCAAGAGTAAAGGCAAGACAAGTAGTGGTTTGCAAACATAATTCAAAGCGTACATTTATACTCTATGAGCAAGCTTCATACACATTTGACATCAAATTGTCTTTCCTCTTCTTTCCATGAGAAATTTATCTCCTCAGTGATGTAAGACTTTTATGATCAGGATTGTTCTTGAACACCCAATTTTAGCTTAGCCACATAATTAAGATGACTGATTTGGACTGCAATTACACACTTCTAAATATAAACAAAACGATGAGTATAGAAGCAAGTTTTACTTCAGAACATACTAGATTCACCACATTTCTGAAACAGGTACCTGTGCAACCCATCAAGATGTATTATTCAATGCCAGTTTACATGATACATTTTTGCCTGTATTGCTTATTAGCAAGCCTCTCATCTCATGGCTAATAAACCACTTGGGACCTTTACATGGGAATAGTAATCAGTTCTTATTCATTGAAGAAATAATACTGCTGTTGAAAACCAAGATGGCATTTTAATTCAGTGTTCCACTCTTGGGAGTTTCTATTATGTATAGATTGTAAATACTCAGCATCAAATGATTTCCATTCCGGTTGAAGTAAGTAAATAAATAAAATATCGACATTAAAGTTTACTACTATAGTAAACTGCCATCATGAGCCAGATATTCAAATACAAGTGTGATTTGTAGCATTTAATATATATACAGAAATAACATGCACATAAAAATCAACTGGCAGTGGTGGCTAAACTATTATTTCACCTTTATATAAAAATGCAAACTTGTACCACACATAATTCAGACACGTTCTGAAATCTAAGAAGCTAACTTACTGAAAATCTATTTTGTAAGGAGGCTTCTAAGGCAGTTCAGCTGAGTGTTTTTCCATTTCATTTGTTGGGGCATTTTTTCTTTGAAAATCCATAATAAAAACTAAAGCACAGAAAAATCTAGGCAATGACATGTAAACTAACAGAAAAATGGGCCTTTATGTGGGACATTCAACCGAAAGTAGAGGTGTTCCAATAGCTGCTGTTTGGCTTCATTTCACCGATAATTTTATGGATTTGTCTATTTCAATTGTTTGGCATTTATGTTTTACTTTTGAATTATTAAATTCAAATGAAACAACATACTGATAAAAACGCTTTTGATCTGAACCAACCAGCAATGTCCAGATTATATATTTGTGCCATGAAATTATGCCTGGTTAGTCATACCGGATACAACTTCATGGCTCAAATATATAAACAGGATGTTGCCAGTTGGATCAAGTCAACAGTTTATCAGTATCCTATTTCTCATAGGAACCAATTATTTGCTTCTGGAAAAATGAAAATTAGGATGACAGCAACAATGCTTTGATGTCCTCCTGCACAAGCATCCAAATACTTTCTCCAATTTAATTTTGTAAAGATTGGGAGATCATTTTATTTGTTGAAATGCCATACCCATGACTCCTAAGGCATCTTGTGGGTTCAACTTAGGCTGAGAGAGCTGAATGGATGAAATATGAACTTTTCAGGAGTGTGAAGGTTCTTGAGAAGAATATACAGAATCAGGCAGATTCTTTAGTCGAATTACTTTTCCTCAAGCTTGGGTCTTCCTGATCTCTTGGCCCAACTCCCCAAGTCCCAGCTATCAAAATTACAAGGAAACACCACATTGGGAAAAGTTGCTCTATATCAGGGGTGTCAAGCTCGATTTCAGGAAGGGCTGCATCAGGGATGTATTTGGCCTTGGGAGGAGGGAGGGGGGGGCATGGCCAGTTTAACATCACTTGTGTCAGGGGGGGGGGGGTCTGTGGTGGCCTGAGTGCTCTGCCAGCAAAAACAGGCTCCCAAGTTCCATTTTCAGCCACAACGGCCTCCTGCAGCCCTCTGCCAGTGAAAACGGATCTTAAGGGGCCACATGGGGTGCCCTCGAGCTCCATTTTCACTGGCAGAAGATCGCAGGAGGCTGTCAGGGTAAAAAATGGAGTCTGGGAGGGCCCACATGGTCCTCCCAAGCTCAGTTTTCACTGGCAGAGCAGGGGTGGGTTCTGGCTGCTTCTACTGCCGATTTGCTCAGGAACGTGCTTCAGGCATGGGGGCACTTGATGTGAATTATGCGTGCCTGATATGCGCTATGCTCAGTAGGTAAAAATGCTTCTGTGTATGTGCAGAAGCAAAAACAAGATGGCGCCACCTATGGCGCCGCTGATAGAACTGTTTCAGGGGTGTGGCCAGCTGAGTTGCTACCTACTCAGCCAAACAGGTAGGAACCCAGCTCTGTGGCAGAGGCACCTTGGGCTGGTCCTTCACTGTTTCCAGAGTGGCCCCACGGGCCAGATCTAAGCATCTCCCACACTAGATCCGGCCCCTGGGCCTTGAATTTGACACCCCTGCTCTATACCACACAGAATGCTTCCCAAGGAAGTTTTTATCATGCCATTGCTCTGTCTTGTTCATTCACAAAGTTTAAGCGTTTCCTACAGCTTTTCCCATCTTTGTGCCTTCTACTGAACTCTGCTAAGAAAGACGGAATAATTATTCCCCACTTTTTGTTCAAACCATCTATCTGAAAACACCCACAAATCTCTTGAAAAAACCTGTGATATATACTATTTTTCAGTTTACTTTGTCTATATGGTTATCTCTTTTTAGCCTCACCTATTCATTTTCCCTTTACTGCATTAGCAACCTTAGTGGCTACTATTAGTCCGAGTTCTTATCATAAAACATGTGGTTGACTATTTCTGAGGTAGGCCTGATTAATATTTAGATTTAATATCTTCAAGATATATTACAATAGACTAGACCAGTGGTAGTCAACCTGGTCCCTACCTCCCACTAGTGGGTGTTCCAGCTTTCACGGTGGGCGGTAGGTGGTTTTGTCTGATACTGAAGCGCTTTCCTTTTTTTAATTTAATTGACTTCCCTCCTTTATAAATCACCATTACTGTGGAATCAGTGGGCAGTTAGAAAATTTTACTACTAACAGAGATACAAAAGTGGGCGGTAGGTATAAAAAGGTTGACTACCCCTGGACTAGACTGTAGACTAGAGGTTCATGTTGTGCATGAAGCTGGGGAAAAATTGCAGACCACAATAGCAAATCACTTCCAAATTGTTGCAAGAAAACTATATAGATTGTAAATAAAAATCACCAGAAATCTTTGAAAGACATGTTATTTTTGTTATGCATGAAACAAGACAAAATGTTGAACTATAGAGCCACCTTGTGGCGATTAGGCACTATTACACACGCATCAACAACATTTATTACAGTTTTTCCATCCATGTTCCAAATATATATACTTCAGTTTATGTGTATATGTGTATATATATACATATATATAAATTAAGTGACTATGACATAACAGTTATACATTACAGCAAAATAATAAACTGTCAAATTAATTCCTAAATGCCTTTTAGGATATGCAATACTAATTTGAAGCATATGTGAACACTGAAAGAAAACAAAATGCCCGAAATCATAACTAGAACATGAATCAAGGATTTGGTAACAATGAAATAGTAATATTCTTCATGTCCTGCTATTATAACATTTAGTTATTTGTCACTGTATTTCTCCATTTTGGAGAGAATATCCATGTGCACCAGAGAACTGAATTTAGAATAAAGTCAAATAGAATGGAATGATATTCTTAACCTTGATTTCCATGTTCTTTTTTGTAGCATGATAATTGTGATTCCACAATATGTTGTGTCATTATTGGATGGTAACCTTTATCCCATTCAGGACAGAACTGGGCAATTTCTGAGCTTATACATGACGGACCTCTCCCCTAAAAGTGGGCTCCTTGACATGTGGGAAAAACTGCTAGTTTTCCCTTTTAGTCATCTAAGAAGGGAATAAGAATTGGTTTCACTGTGAGTCATACTTAGGCCAGGCCCACTAAAAGCAGGGAAATTTATGATCTTAACATGCTTGGCCTAAGAATCTTTTAAAAAGCTTAATTCATGATCAAATACTTAAACCTAATTTTAAGGCTTTCCCTACTGAGTGGTCAGTATTGTATGCTAAGGCTATGGAAGTAAAATGCAGCAGAAGACACATTTCCTCACAGAAAGATGTCTTAGATTTAAAACAAATGCGACATATATATCTTGTGCACTCACAATCCTCTTTCCCTTTCAAACTTTGGATGGTTGCAAAGCTGTTTTATCCACTTATTTTTGAGTTGACAACATTATATTGGTCTAAAATTTGTTACTACTACTGCTGCTCTCTCTTCTGCCTTCACTGCAACTGTCCCTAGTCATTTCTAGTGCCTTGATTTCATCCCAAGATAATAGATCACAAGGCCAAATAGATTTTATACATCTTGAGGTTGCCTTTGGATGGTAATGGAATAAGACAGAAAATACCATTTACAAACTGGGCTTTTGGACTCCTAGCAACCATTTAGATAGATTTTCCCCATAATGATATATCTATCACTTTGAGGTCTTCCCACACTGCCACAGTGAATGAGTTGATCTGCTTTGCTGGTTGTCTTCTTCTCTTCTACCTTTCCAGCATTAGTATCTTTTTCGAAAGTGTTATGTGAATGTAAGATTGTCTCAGTAATCGGTTGGAGAAGGATATACTACAGCATGACAGCAGCCATAAACAAAGCAATACAATAGCAACATTTTGAATATAAATTAGTCTTTAGTTTAGAAAAAATGAATCTGTTTAACAGAGTTAAGCATTAAAAAAATAAATATCTAGTTCGCAGGGTAATCAGTGCTTGCAATTTTTTTTCTCCAAAACTGAAATCTGCTCTCCTGAACAATCTTTAGTCAAGATAAAGCTTTGACTTGAGAAATTATGTACACCTTTAATTGTGGAGGTCTTAGTGCTCTTTGAGTTTGGTGGTTTGTTTGCAGATGTTTCACTACTCAACTAAGTAGCAACCTTAGTGTGTGGTTTGCTTCCTGCTTACATACAATGGCAAATTAGAAATGCAAGCCTGTTGAAAAACAAACCACAGTAGCCAAGTGCTCCATTACCCAAGTAATAACTCAACCTCCCATAAGAGAGCTATGTAAGAACATTATTCGGATGAATACAAACATTGCAGCAACCTAGAACACCAGAAAAAGGAAACACACTGCCTATAATAACATCTTTCAACTAAGTAGATGCCCAACCTAAGTGGCTTACCACAGAACCTTCTATAGCACAGCCACCCCAAGCTATGAAAAAGATAATGCACAAGGCTAAACTTTAAGAAGAAATGCATCCAAAGTGAGAATTGAGAAGACAGAAAGACAGCAAATGTCACCTTTGTAACATATCTGAATAAATAGTTAACTACCTAGTGCTGTGATGGCAAACCTATGGCACGTGTGCCACAGGTGGCACACAAGAGCCCTCTCTGTGGGCATGCGAGCTGTCGCCCCAGCTCAGTTCCACCGCACATGCCCGCATGCCTCCCGCAGGCCAGTTTTTAAAATCTCTGCCATGCATGCGCAGGGGCAGGGGTGCATGCAGGAGATGTGTGTGCATGTGCAGGGTGGTGGGGCACATGGGGGGGTAATATGCACACGTGTGGGGTGGAGGGTGCATGCAGGGTGGGGGGGTTGCTGCAACGATCAAGTGAAAAATGGTTATGTTACTTTTTTCAATGCTATTGTAACTTGGAATGGTCACTAAATGAATTGTTATAAGTTGACGATTACTTGAAGTTACCGAATAGGGCCATGATGGCAAACCTATGGCATGCATGCCCAGAATGGGCCATGGAGCCATTTCACCTGGCATGTGCAGTGTCATCCGTTCCTCTTCTGGATTCTGGCGAGTATGCACATGTGATGATCAGCTGGCTTTGGTGTGTGCGGCAGTGCCGGAAACTGGAAGAGCTGGTCTTCCATTTTCCGGTGTGAGCATGCATGCCAGTCAGCTGATCATCACATGCGCATGTGCTCCAGAATACAGAAGACTTTTTGTTCTGGAAGTTCATTTTCCAGTGCACGCATGCCCCGTTTCCAGTTCCTTGTCCTGGTTGCGGCCCAGACGAGCAGGCACAAAGTTCTCCCTTTTTGGCACTTGGTGCCGAAAAGGTTCACCATCACTGGAATAGGGTAATGAAACATCCCCAGGCAAATAATCAGGCTCAAATAGCACCAAGGGCTCCACAGTTCAACTCTGAGATACACATATTCTCTTCTATTGGAGTTTGTGTCTTTCATTCTCAGTTTTATGTAAATCCATTTATTTGACCATACAGCCAGTGGAAGTGAATTCCTTAATGGAATATATGCATTTGTGCCTAATTTATTATTGATGCTTTCTATTCATATACAGTAACGTGGCTTTCTCATTTTAGGCCACTGTCTGAAAAAACAGGTAACTCTTGCGAGCATCTCCACTCTAGTAAACATGTAGCTATAAGATGTAAAGAAACATAGTTGAGATTATCAATATCATGCATATAGCTCATGCATTCATTGTCTTTTAAACAAACAAATGAACGACATTTGTATATTGAATACAGACTCAAAGTTCCACTGCAAAGGCTCACTAGCTCTGATTTGCCATATGTTTGATTTCATTATGTGCCAATTACAAAAGGCAATCTGGGTTTGTGAATGTGCTAAATGTCATACACTTTAGCACAAACACAACATTAAGCAGTCCAAATGGGAATGTGCGTCACTACCAGTGAATGCTTGCCATTTATTATAAAAGCCATACAATAGAAGCATGCCGTTTGATGCTGGATCATTATAGATTTTTAGGTGGATTTCAGATTTTCCAATTCATCACTGGATGAGTAAATTTCATTATAGACTTGGATGGAGGAATACTTAACTGGTGGAGGAGGTGGCTTGAACGATGGAGGTTTATTCATACTAGAATGAAAATAATCCTGTTTAAAATGTGCAGAAAATGAACATCCACAATAAGCATCAAAATAGTTAGATACAATTAAGAAGCAAATGAACACTATGAAAACATAATTAGGCATAAAAATAGGTCCACCTTGCCACTAATTTACATTGAAGCAGGGACCTAATATATCTTTGATGAAAGGTAAACTATTAAAATTAGTAGTATTGCTAAAGTACTTGCATTTCTTTTTGTTCTTTTGAGTAATACCAAATCGATGCATAAACCAGTGTTTCTCAACCTTGGCGACTTTAAGTCCTGTGGACTTAAAGAACTGTCATGGTCCAGTTCCTGGGAAATTCTGGGAGTTGAAGTCCAGACATCTTCAAGTGGCCAAGGTTGAGAAACACTGGCATAAACAAAGCCACCAGGTTGATTTCTGATAATGAAGTCATGAGGTAAACCAAGAATAAAGTATTGCAGTAATGGTATGTTCAGTTGCCATTCTTATGTAGATATGCCATTCTTTTAAACATGAGAATATAGCTTAATATGAACCAGATTTCAATAATGTTTACTCTCATGCTGATAATTAATATTATATGGACCTTATTCTGGGTTTTTTATTCATTTAAATGACTATAAGTTACAGTACCTAGGATTTTTAATGGGCAATCACTGCCATATTTTGTTGTCATAGTAATTCTTGGTTATATGTTATTAATAAGTTTTCTAAAAATACAAAAAAGCCTGTTGATTTCTTTCATTCTAAATATAAAGAAATCTTTTTGCAATTAATCTCGCTGTTTTGTACGGGAGTAATTTCACAATGATACCCAAAATGAAGTCATGATTTTGAGGGGCATACAGTGTACTTACATTTCTCTTTGGTGCTGACACCATTTTCTGATTCCACAAATGATTAAACACGTGCAGAAAAAAAGCAGAAATGACACAACTGGCCAGGGAAATGTACTGTGTTTTGGAATTATTGCAGAACCTGGAAAGGGTACAGTACCAAAATTATTATGATGAAAACCATAAGCAAGCTTTGAACAATTATTATGTCTACATTTCTAAATTATGAGTGTAGAGGATTTTTTTTTATTTTTTTTGGACTATCATATGGAAAGAAATTATTCAAAGCAGTTGACTAAAGTGGAGTCAACATTAGACAGGAGCCATACTAGTGGCAGATACTATGAGGCAGGCCCTGGATGTTATGAGAGATGGCAGGATGCCATGCAACCCGCCTTGTGCTCTCTGTGCTGGTTGCAGTCTTTAACAACCAAGGGGACCACACACATTGTCAGCAGTAAAAGGATATTTCACCATCAGTCTTGTTCACAGCAGTTTTAAAAAGGATACCTACAGTTATGGAACCTTGTACTCAGAGGTGGTATTCTGCTGGTTCGCACCAGTTTGCGTGAACCGATAGTGACGGCGGTGCAAGGTTCTGCCCATTCACCCACCCTGATGTCATCACATACCTTTTGCGCATGCACAGAATTTTCTGCACATGCCCAGACATGCTGTGTGCAAGAAAAGCAAGAGTGCAGGTGTGGGCACTCCCACTATTGAATTGGTAGCGAAAACAGGAGGATTTCATGCCTACTGGTACTGTTAATGTCCAGCTTACTAGCATAACACATGATCTAGTTTCCAACTTGTTATCCTATTGCACTTCATATCTCTTACAATAATATATTATGGTTTATGCTACTTCAGCGGTAGGAGACGTGGTATTTTAAAAAACCTTTTATTTGCAGTTTTGCAATGCTTGTGGCATTGGACAGCATTTATAGGAGCAAGAATTATACTGTAACACATTGGCATTTGCAATTTAAGCAACAATAGGACTAAGATACTGACACAAGATGAATTAGAAACAAAAAGGCACTTAGAATTTGCCCTCATTTATTTATGCTCCTAAACAGAGCGTACATTTATACAGGTAGTCCTTATTTAGCAACCACAATTAGACAATTTTGTCAATAAGCGAAGCAGTCGCATGTGAAACCATGACTGTGCTTATGATCTTGCTTCAGCTTTCCTTGGCTTTACAGACCTGCAAATCACATTAATGTGAGGATTAGTCACAAAGTTACCTTTTCATAACCATCACAACTGAATGGTCGCTAAATGAGGCAGTCACTAAATGAGGACTATTTTCATGATATTCATGCAGATTTTGAAATAATTTCTGGAAGTACAGCCCGTCTATCCTCCTCCCTTCTTAAAGACTTGAGTCATTGGCTTAGATGTGAAAATGATTTCCAAGCATGAAAGTGTCTAAACTCTAAACTGCTATATAAGCAATGCTGGACATCTCGCAATGATCCTAACAAGGATTAACACATCGGCTTCCACGGCAACCATAAATTCTCTCAATCATTCTGTTCAGAATATGGACAACCACATCTTTAGCTTTTCATTATTTAGTGGCAGGTACAGGTAGGGTGATACATGTCAGAGCTCTTACAAAATAAATCTTTTCAATCTTGATTATGACATGGAAATTGATTAATATACAGTACCTCCCTTCCTCCCTGTAGATCAATCTTGCCAAAACCATCTGCAGCAACCTTTTTGCCCTGCTTCTCCTTTCATAAAGACTCCTTTACAATTGGAGCAATAACTTACTGGTATTAAGGCCATCTTTTACAGTGTATGAATGAGCAGGGCTATTCATTGTGGTTAGTTCAGTCACTCTTCTGATGGACAGGTTTCCTTAAAAACAGACAAGCATGCATTCTTTATTATTTTAGCCAGTTTACCAGTATTATTATAGTAGTAATGATTACTATACATCTGGCTGACTGTGCAATCAACCATTAATAAAAGATGGGATATTATAATTGGTCGCACAATCAGAGGTTTAGATTGAATTTGATGTTTTTATTCACCTATTGAGTCCTTCCTAAAGACTTAGGATAGGCAGCTGTGTTGTTTGTTGTTGCATATACTGTTGCAGGATGTAAGCTGTTCCAAGTAAAGCTGCCTTTTGCAATTGATTGATGATGATTTTGTCAATGCTGATTGTGTTTTGTTTTCTTATGCTACAACAGTTGTACTTCAGTGTGCAGATCTTTGTATTTTGTGATTTTTTTTTGCCAATTTGTTCTCTTCAATTTTGCTACCTCCAGGTACTGTAAATTCCACTATCCAAACAATTTTGTCTTTCTTATTGATAATTGTTTAGTCTGAGGTTTATCATATAGCAGGTGCTACATGACCGGCATAATTCAATTCATTGTCATTACTTTCTAGTCTTCTTATTCAGGTATTTCCACCATGAATTTGGGCTTAAGATCTTTTTAATTTTCATGACATATTTACTTCTGATCCTTCCTTTTGACTTCAACGTGCTTGATGTTGTCACCTTGAAAGATGCTCTCATATTTGTAGCAACCATCTTCATTCAGACTCTTGATGTTATGTCCATAAGAATCTTGATTCCTTCAATTTTCGTTATTCCCCCCCGCTCCCTATTTTGATAGGGTGGTACATTTGTCCAGTTCAAATTCAATTCCAATATTTTGACTCACATATATATATATACACACAGAGAGTGTGTGGAATAGCAATTCTATTTCAGGTGGTGATTTCCCACACAGCTTCAGATTGATGGACAGCACTGTGGTAAGAGTAGGATTCCTACCAGAAATTCCCACAAGAACCTTGAGCTACCTCCTACAACTTTAAGATTCAGAAATATATGTCAAAAGTAATTTGAAAATGATTAATCAATATTGCTTTGCTTGATTCTATTTGTGTGTGTGTGTGCTATGCATGTGAAAACAGAATGACTTGCCACAGGGGCTACCTTTTCACAGCTTATAAATCAAGTAAGCCTCTCCAGTCTAAACAAGCAGCAACCCTTTAAAAATGTTAGACATGGGAAATGATCACATTAAGAGGGTGGTAATTGTGGGCAGAAGGCATGAAACCTCAGGTCACTGCTTATACGCTTCTCAATAAGAACTTTTCTTAGCAGCAATAAAAATCAGATTATCTAAGGAAATATAGCTGTATGCCATGGTCGGTGAAGATTTAGCCCTGGGAAGAAAAGGCAGTTTTGTCTCTAGGCTTCCCTGATACTATGACAAACCAAGGCATTATAACTATCATTATTATTATTATTATTATTGTTGTTGTTGTTGTTGTTGTTGTTGTTGATGATGATGATGCATATCAAGAAACAACTTTTTCTAATCTGAGTTTGTTCCTTGATTATAGAATGGATACTTTTGTTGCTACCCAGTCAAATGTATTTATGGAATCTCTAGACTCCAATATATAATTTAGCATTAGCATTATATTCTTCTATACTAGGTAGCATTCAGGCAGCCCAATATGTAATCCAGGTTCAAAAACTATATTAAGTTAAGAAACAAACTAATTGCTTTGATAAAGTGAGATCAGGTATAAACAGTCCATGGGTTTAACAGTTATATTGATTATTTATTGCTAATATTGCTTTTCTGCTTCAAGTAAATTGCATTCCAAGTAAATCCTCTTGAAGAACATTCTTGTTTTTATTAATTCAATATCCTGATATTTAACCAAATTTCTACATATATTTTATTATGGATGCTAAAGAATCCATTGAGTGGGAACTCTAAGTTCAATATCATAGCCAGCTAGAAACCAGGAGACCACGAGTTCTAGTCGTGCTTTTGTCATGAAAACCAGCTGCATAATTTTGGGCCAGTCACACTCTCTTAGCGCATAATGTTAGGCTTGGGTAATAGTTGACCAGTTCCTGTTGCAATCAATAGATCAATACTTGGATGATCACAAAAAAGTGAATCCTTCATTTGCAGGAAATACCTGTAAAGAAATAAATCTAGCACTCCATATTATTTGGAAAAGTTTTCCTAATGAGAATAACTTTCCTATATAAAGTGGATATTTCTACTTTTTATGGAGCTAAACTACGATTATGTCTAGGATTCGAAATAAATATGGTTTTGTTTTTCCCCCATTGAATACAAATAATTTTTTTAAATGTTTAAAACTTACTTTGAGGTACCATGGTCTCACCGAACAACGTAATAACAGTATCATTTTGCCGGGGTTGCAAGGATTCTGTAGAAGACATATTGTCTTTAAATTCCTTGTAAAATGTGATGATTCAGTGCTTTGTTAGCTAGATGCTACCAGAAGAAGTAAAACTAAAATGTAGACTTCATTTGGATAATACAAATTTCACATTATAAATGGAATACTAAAGGAAGAAATCTAACCTATTTTCTTGAAAGCTTTCCCTGATAGTAATAGCAGTAGCACTTAGACTTATATACAGCTTCGCATTGCTTTGCAGCCCTCTTTAAGTGGTTCACAGAGTCAGCATATTGTCCCCAACAATCTGGCTCCTCATTTTACCCACCTCTGAAGGATGGGAGGCTGAGATTTGAATTGCCAAATTGCAGTCAGATGGCAGTCAGCAGAAGTAGCCTGCAGTACTGCACTCTAACAACTTTGTCACCCTGGCTCATAATAACTATTGAATAATATGAAGTTATATAAAATGATATTTCTACTTCTGCATGTTCTAAGCCATAATTATTCCTTTGTTTTGAATAAATATGACACTACCTTTCCCACACTAAATACAAATAATTTAGAAAGTCTTATAACTTACTTTGTGGTACTGTGGAGTCACGGAGCAACATAGTAGTAGTACTACTTTGCAGGGTTTTGGTAGAATGCAAGATTTCTGTAGAAGACAAATTGCCCTTAAATTCCCTGTTCAATACGAATATTCAATGTTTTATTGACCAGGAGGCCACTAGGAGAAGTAAAACTAAAATGCAGACTTCATATTCAGTACTATAAAGAAACACAAGAGCCAACTTCACATTATTCAGAAAAGGTCTCCTAATAACTCTCATATAGAGCAATAGTAATACCACTTTGACTTATATAACCCTTCAGAGTGCTTTATGGTCTTCTCTATGCAGTTTACAGAGTCAGCATATTTTCCCCAACAATCTGGATCCTAATTTTACCGACCTTGGAAGAATGGAAGGCTGAGTCAACCTTGATCCAGTGAGAATCAAACTGCTGGTAGTTAGCAGAATTAGCTTGCAATACTGCATTCTAACCACTGCATCATGGCAGCTCTTGGTGTGGTTAAAGGACATATAAAAGTATATAAAGTTGATTTTAAAAAAAAATAAAATCTTTGATAAGTCAGCCACAATTTTTGAAATCTATTATGTTTCTACTTTCCATGCCAAATACAAATAATTTAAGAACCGTTCATCACTTACTTTGGGGTACTGTGAAGTCACTGAATAACTTTGTAGTAGTATCACTTTGCAAGGTTTTAGTAGAATGCAAGTGTTCTGTAGAAGACAAATTGTCTTTAAATTTCTTATTCAATGTTTTGTTGGCTTGATTCTAACAGGAGAACATGGTATGAAATTATATAAAACTATTTTTTCTTCTTCTTGATACAGCTAATCCACTATGCTTGATTGGATTTGAAATCTACAGTATATGCTTCTTATCAAATCTAATCCATATACGTAACATTTTACACATGCAGGATGAATATAAACTAAATAAAAATAATAATATTCTATACATTTTATTTTAATAGCCACAGTTAAAAGTATGTTTTGAATCTTACTGATGCCCATTATGTTTCTAATAAAGGTTAATTTATAACCTTTAAAAATACAGCTAGAAGGAGGAGGAGGTTGTTCAATAGCTTTGTCTCCATTGTCCACTAATTAAATTATGATAAGTAGTGATTACCCTACAAGAAAGTTTGAGCCAGCTAAGCAAATGGTCAGCAAACATACTATATAACTATACTTATACTCTAACTGGACCATGACAGTTCTTGCAAGAAATTCTATTCTCCTTTCTTTTCCTTTCCTCTCCTCCCCTCCCCTCTTCTCTTCTCCCCACCTTACTCCACCCCACCTCATTTCATTCCATTCCACACAGTAATTAGAAATTTTAAAAAAATTTGAGATAGAAGTGGATTCTGTGACTTGTCTGGAAGGAAAAAAAAAGATTACAAAAACAAAACAAGTTATACTTTCTTTTGGAACTTTGAAAGGTATAATAAAACTTGATGCGACTATTAGTTATTGCATCATTATTGCTCATTTACCAAAAGCTGTATAATGACACAAAATTACTTTAGAAGTACTATAAGTGTATTTGGAAGGATTATAAAAACAACAGATATAGTTCCTATTTTTTGCCTCGAAATGCTGTGCTACGTGGTAATATAAAAATGAAAGAAGAGGCATAGTGAGGACAAATGTTTGTTGTACCTGCCTTCTCTTATATGCAAGTCCTGGAGAACAGGACCTATGTGAGATAAGGATTTGTCTCACAGATTCCAGCAATATAAAGATTGCCCCATTCTTTATGCACTTTTGGGAATTTTCACCATAAATAGTAAAGTGTTAGATACTTTCCCCTGAAGCAATAAAGCTAACAAAAAATGAATAAATGAACAGTAGAAGCGTTGAGACAACAAGATTCACGTATGACTGGATTTTTATTGTGGATGTATGTTGGAGAAAAAAACTCACATAATATTTATATTGAACTTACTTTCTGAAGTGGAATCTGGTACTAGCGTTATTCCTGAGGCTTCAGAAATCGTAGGCTGTAACCCTGATTAAAATAACCATGGCTTGAAATACAGTGGATGAAATAAAAGAGCTTTAAAAAACAGCTTTAAAAAATGAACTTTGGAAATTCTTTAAACTGACAAAACAATGACATAAACATGACTTTATACCAATATTTTAATTATGCAAGTAGTCACATATGTGCCTATGTTTTGCATATTTGTAGACATATGTATATTTGCCATATAGACATGAGGCAAATATATAGATATATTCTACACATTTTTCTAATAAAGATATCACAACTTTTTCTTTCTATTTTTTAATAAAATAATGCAACATAATACTTGCAACTGTTTAAATGCTTTTCATAACCACATTTTATTTTGGTGTTGACATTTATACCATTATTTTGTCAAATGTTTAAAGAACAGATAATATTTCATAGAAATCTATAAACAGCTACTTACTTTCTGTGGTTGAATCTGAAATGGCAGTAATGTGACTAATGAATTCTGAATATGCCAGTGATGTATTCTGAACTCCTGTTTAAAATAACCAGTTGAGAGAGTGGATACTTCTTAACAACAGCATCATGATATTGTTGGTAATAAGATGGGTGTTTATATAAATGTTTTAAGTAAATAAAATAAAATAAAATAATAGAAACCAATAAAGTATCACAAATCATAGGCTTTCATTCCAAATATAATGTTCCTACTGATAGATAAGATAATGAAATGAAAATAGAATTGAAGGAATGGAGAATTACTTTACTCTTCAAAGAAACCCAGAAATATTATGAATTTTTAAATTATGGCAATAAGAAAATCTTGATGGCTTTTCGGGAAACACTATTATTATACAGAGTAGTGTAACTTACTAGGACAAAATATTAAAAACATTACATATATTTTTAAATTGATACCAAGTACCATTTGACCAGTGCCTAACAACTGAGTTACAGATAAAACAACTGCATTTGGTTAAATTTATCTTTAGCTGTATACAAACAAGAGAATGGCAATTAAATAAATTGTATATTGGAACCTAATTTGAAGTCAGGCTGAATTATAAGTAAAAGCCATCTGGGCAGTCTTTAAAAATTATCTAATGGGACAACTGCTAATTCACTTTGCCTTCTTTGAAACTCACCAGATGAGCAAGGAAGTTTATAATGCACGAGATTCATAAAAATTACCTATTCAGATCTTGAACTCATGGAAAGTTCAAAAGGGCTTGAAAAAAAGAAAGTGCACAATAGCACAGCTGCTCTTTCTTCCCAATCTGTTTGCATTCAATCTGTTTGCATTCAATCTGTTTGCATTCAGATAGAGACCCGAAGAGAAGCTGTAATATACAGTAGCTACAGCTACTCGTGCAATTAAGAGAACCTGATTTATAAGCCCTGGATTACATCAATGGAACAACTTTCCTTCAGAAGTTGTGAATGCTCCAACATTGGATGTTCTTAAGAACATCCATTTGTCCAAAGTGGTATAGGGTTTCCTGCCTAAGCAGGGGGTTGGACTAGAAGACCTTGAAGGTCCCTTCCAACTCTGTTATTCTATAAAACTTCTACATAAAGAGGTGAATGAAAAGTCAAGCCAATTACTTAATCATTCCGCCTTTAGATTTCCAGCTATAAATACGGAGGTTAGGGAACATGGTGAAAAGTTTGAAATTTTCTTATATTCAAGTGAATGCCTCAACTGCATTTGCATTTTCAAACATAGCACATATTGAGACTATTCTCAAAAAGTGCTGGGATGAAATAATAACTATGAGCAATGGCTTAAAGTGCATGACTGAGATTGCTAGTGACTGCAAAATAAATTGCAGTAAACTGTTGGTCTCCAGAGTTAAAACTTTCTTCAAATTCAGCTTCACATAGTTGCCAGTTCAGTTACAGAATGAACAATGTGGAGCTGCTGAATATGCAAAAATTCCCTTAATGGGATGAAACACATGCACTATACTTTCTATGAAGCATGCATTTTTATTTGTTTCTGCAGAGTTCACACTGCCAAAAGTGTTTGACTGAACATATATGCACAAGACACCACTTGGATTATAAATGGCCCCTAATTTCCCAAAGTGACTTACCATAAGGAATAAGTATTTCTTTAGAGGAAAATTTCCATCTGTCATTTCTAGTGAAGTAGTACGCAGACATGCATTTGAAGGGCTGATTAAAAGTTGAATGAGTTATATTCCGTAGTGACAAAAATGATGTCTTTTCATAAAAACTTCCTACCTGGTTTATATTTTTATTTTCAATTAATAAACCTTTGAAAGAAAAAAAAGATAAAATGGACAGGTTTTCCCTTATGTTCCTTCTTCTAGCAATAATTAAGTAAATAAGTTCCTGAAAACAAGCTGTAAAATGCTTAATTACATAATCAAGATAATATATTATTTTTATTTGTAAAATGCCTTAACAAGCAGGAAGTATATAGCAAATGCATCCAAAGATTACAAATATTTAGAAATTTATAATCCCCCCAAATAAAAAATTGATATGTTCTAAAAAAGAAGTATGGAAATTGCAGCTTTTCAAAAGGTTTTATATTACAGTATTCCTTGCCCCTTCCAATAACCACACTGATTGGAAGAGATAACCAATAGAAGGATTATAATTTCCCATACTATTCCTGAAGGTTTAGGGTTTAGGGGTTTATTAACATTTATAGGCCGCCCTTTTCCCTGAGGGGACTCAGGGCGGCTTACATAAAATCAAGGGAGGGATATACAAACAATAACACAGACAAAACATAGAATAAAATAATGAGCAACATTCATTCATCATTCGGGAGGGCCAATTAACTTTGTCCCCA